TATATATATATATATATATATATATATATATAAAGCTTAAATGTGTTTCATGCCTTTCTTTACAAAACATGTCATCCCACCGCACGCTGCATACCTGTGCTCTTTACACATTGAGTTTTGACATAGGCAGCATATTTTAAGAAAAAATAATCAATTAGTATAGGGACCAAAAAAATGCCTTCCCAAGAGCTACTCTTTTTCCTACTCTGAACATCCCAGCTTGTACCATAGTTTGTCACAACTGTGGAAAACTGCTGGAGGTGGCTTATGAGGTTCATGTGAGTACATTGTTTGCAACACCTCACATCTTTTTATAAAGATTTTTATTGTAACAAAGTAGTAGTGTATCACAAAAGAAACAATTGCAAAACCATGTTGTTAGGAGCAAAGTACTTAGTTATTGCCATGACAGATGTGCAGCAAGCTTACAGACCAAGAAAGCAGTTCTAGCAGCAGGATATGACAGCACCAGGAGGATGACTTCTGACAAAGATGGGGTACAGAAGATTCTGAGGGAAAAGGCTCAAACGTTAAGCATCTTTTTGGAGGTAGGGGACCCAGTTTCTATAAGTCTCATAATGCCCTTAAAAATAGATAAAATTTAGAACAAATAATCCTAAAAAGAGGAAACAGTCAGTTTATCTTTGTAATAAGTTGTACAAATTAAGTTTTGAACCTTTAGTGATCATTTGTTTCAGGATTATTTATCCCTTAAAAAGTGTTTATCTACTTGAGATGCTTGCTATTGAGATTGAGACTGTTCATGCAGCTCTCTGTTCATCCTCCTACAATTTCTTAACTCCCTGGTGTTGGGAATTTTAATGAAAGGCAAAATGGGTTGGGCTTCTTATTACAAATAAAGCCATTAACAAAAAAAGTGATTATAGACAGGGATGCTGATGTCTTCATCTGTGGAAAAACAAAAACCAGGAATGCTAAAATAACATATCAGATCCATTCAGTGAAAGGCTTTTTTTAAAAATTACCCAATTTACATAAGAAAAAGCTCCACTAAAAATGACATGCACGTTGACTCAAACTTTTTTCAAAGCATGCTAAATAATCTCTAAATCTATAGTAGGCAGCTGATAGTCTAACTGAACCAGCATCCTTGCAGATCTTCTGGGGTTCTGAGTTAACTGAATGACACAGACTCCAGAGCTTGTGCCCCCAATATCTGTAGCCACAAGGGAGTTTCTTATATATGAACGTATGTAACTTTCTTTTGATCACATGGAACAGCAAGTTTGGAACTCCTGTTGCCAGATACTGAGTTACTTCCCTAAGCCTGAACAGTGCTTATTTTTTACCACCTAGTTTAAACTATGAAGCACCACATGACAGCCATCCATCCTTTTTGCTGAAGAAGATTCAATAGACCTTCCTTCAAAGCATGAATGTTAATCTATGTTCTGCTCAGTGATCCCCAAGTACAAAGTATTCTTGAAAAATCTTGTCCTTTGCCTGCACAGAGATAATTGAACTGCCATTCCAAAACTCCAACACCCCTAGTCCTTGTAGCAGGGTAGACTCATCAGTAGGATAGACTATTAATTTGCTACTCTAGCATAGATATCCTAAACCTTCAAGTCTGGGTTATGTCCATTAAGTCCTCAACCCATTACAGTGGTTGAGGTTTATTAAAATGAGAATCCCACTAGAAGAGCAAATTTTAAAAAAAACCTGGGCACTTTCAAGCAGCAGCAGAGTTCTTGACTGGAATCACTGTTCACCCAGGAGATCATTCCCAATCATTAGACCTGCGGTGTTAAGAATGTTTTTAAAAAGCATTTTTCATAGGAAAAATAACGGATACAATCTGCACCTTTATTTCAAATAATACTTTGGTGCAGATCACTAAGAATTTCAAGGCCCAAGCTTCCTATACATCTAACTAGTCAAGACAGGTGTCCACAAGCTAATGCTGTCAATGCATTTGAATTATCACATTGCAGAAAAGGACAGTTTAAAAAAAAACAAATATGTTTTAGTTAGTGTAAAATAGTTAATTGCTCTATCTCCTATGCAAGTGGTGGTAACACTTATATTCTTTTTGACAAAAGCCAGATGTTTGTGAGAAGTGTTTTCTTTTCACTATACACGGTAGTTTGCACTTTGTCATTGGTCCGTCATGCTGTTCTTTCTGCCTCTGCCTGAACCCAAACCCCCTCGCAGCCTGACCGAAATGTTCGCTTATGCAGCTAGCCCTGCCTCAGTTTGTACCACCTCCTCCTCCAGCATTCGGCTGAGACATCAGAAGTCGATGTCCATGTCAGCCTCTGTGCACACGAAGATGATGTTACTTCCAATAAACAATGACGCAGATAACTTCAAGCTTATGTAAGAAAAACTGAAATAATTGTGAAACTAAGTTTTACCTGCCTTTTAACTTTGTGCTGTGGAATTTTAGTCTTAGATTTGTTCTAGACTGTATTTTCTGCAAGATGTTTCCTAATTTTTAGTTTTGTTTACATTTATTGTTTTGTGGTGTTTGTGATATAATCCTACCATAGTGAACATTTAATACTTTTTTCATACTAATAAAATTATTAAAAATCCACCTGTTCTTGAACACTGTCAGGGGGGATTATAGTCTAATATTTTTGTACTGTTAGGAATTTTTAATATTTTCAAGTAGATTGCTGGTATATAGAGTTCTTTTACAAGATGTTCACAAATTAGCAAGGTTCTCCACAGGCATAGAAAGGAGAAAGCAAGGTTATACATTATCCATTTTCCCCACACACACACACACACACACCTGGAAGTAAGGTGTGTTGGGGTTTTTTTTTTTGGTCCTTCCTTCTTTCATCAGTTTTGTCAGTGAAAATCTATATGCACAGTTTCCTCTAATTCCCAACTGGCTTGCTCAATATTACATTTTTCTAAATGCACAAATTTGTGTTTAGACTTTTTTTATTCCTAACTTTTTGTAAAATATTACTTGATTCTGTAATGTGCTATAGTAACTTTTTTGGGGGGGGTTCTACAATGGCCTGTATAAGGATGTCTTTAAGTGTACTGTATTGTAGAATTTACAGTTGCACATTTATAGGCATGCATTGTTTCCTGCAAAGTGCTGGGGTTTCTGTAAAAGATAATATGAAACTGTGTAATATGTTTTTGTTTCCCTCTGTAGCACTGGTCCTGATCAAAGAACTCCTGTTGCTTCAACTCATAGCATCAGCAGTGCAACTACACCTGATCGCATTCGTTTCCCAAGAGGAACTGCCAGTCGTAGCACTTTCCATGGTCAACTCAGAGAGCGACGTACTGCTACATATAATGGACCACCTGCCTCACCCAGTCTATCCCATGAAGCAACACCACTTTCACAGACTAGGAGCAGGGGCTCCACTAATCTTTTTAGTAAATTAACTTCAAAACTAACAAGAAGGTAAGGCTTGTTTTAAAATAACAGCTGTAATAGTGAGAATTTTTCTTCACTTAGGTACTTCCCATTCTCCAAATACTTCATTTTGCTGCAGTTCAGTTCTATTCATATTCCTTGAACAATGTGTTTTAGCCATTTCTGCAGTTTGAAATGCTAGATGTATTAGTTTTTGAATTTTTTTTTAAGTTCTTTAGATCTTTGAAAGCCATTGTTCTTATAGTTTATAATTATAGTCAAATTGATTTCTATAGGGTTACATGGGTTATAAGTTGGCAGAATTTGGCCTATCGTACTTCCTGCTAGGAAACATAATCAACGTGTCTCACCTTGATCTGTAACATACTTGAGCTCTGATCCTGCAGAGATTTTACGCACATGTGTTAACTTGACTGTTCATTGCAATGGTGTGGCCTGTCACTAGGACTGACTTCTGTCTGTCTGGAGTTTAATGACAGGTGGGCTAAGGAGCTATAAAGCTAGGCTTGCCAACTTTCTAGTCGCACAAAAACAAGCACCCAAGGCCCCGGTCCTGCCCACTACATTCCCCCTCCTTGAGTGGCTTGCTCTCTCTCCCACCCTCACTCACTTTCACTGGGATGAGGCAGGGGATTGGAGGGCGGGAGGACTCCGGGAAGGGGCCAGAAATGAGAGGTTCAGGGTGCAGAAGGGGGCTCCAGGCTGGGGCAGGGAGTTGGGTTGCAGAAGGGGGTGAGGGCTCCGGCTAGGGATGTGGGCTCTGGGGTCAGGCAAGGTATGAGGGGTTCAGGGTGGGCTCAGGGCTGGGGCAAGAGATTGGGACTTGGGGTTGGGGTGTGACTTATCTCTGGTGGCTCCCAGTCAGAGGCCCAGCGGGGGGGCTAAGGCAGGCTCCAGAAGCAGTGCCCCAGAAGCAGCCAGCAGGTCCGGCTCCTAGACAGGGGGCCAGGAGGCTCCATGCACCAGTCTCGCCCTCAGGCACCGTGCTCCTCCAGCTCCCATTGGCTGGTTCCCAGTCAATGGGACTGCGGAGCCGGTGCTCATGGTGGGGGCAGAGCACGGAGCCCTGTGGCCCCCTCGCCTAGGAGCCGAACCTGCTGGCTGCTTCCGGGGCACAGCACGGTGCCAGTCAGGACAGGTAGGAACTAGCCTGTCTTAGCGCCGCAGCACCATCAACCGAACTTTTAACGGCCCGGTCGGCGGGACTGACCGGAGCCATCAGAGTCTCTTTTTGACCAGGTGTGCCGATCAAAAACCGGACACCTGGTCACCCTGTATAAAGCTTCCCTAATTTTTGAAAGAGTCAGCCTAGCCTAAAAGCTCATCTTAGACAGAAGCCTGCTCAACTTTTGAAAGATTTATTTGTGTGGCACTTAGTTTAGGCATAGACCTGACACGGTCTTAAAAGTTATAGCCTACCCAAGGAGCTTAGCCTAAGCGGAGGCTTGCTCCTGTTTTGAGGGTTTTTACTTCAGCAGGAAGTTATGACGTTCTAAATTTGCCAGTGGTAACTTAAGTTTCTTCAGCTCCCATAGGAACTAAAATTTAAAAATCATGTTTTTCATATACATTTTAAACATTTCTGAATTTTTATTTTCCTCTTTTTGGTATCTGAGCCGATGACCTATAGTTCATGCACGTTAGAGCACTGCATGACATTTGCGTGTTCATCTTCGAGCTTGCGTATAAGTTTTTGCAGGAGTGAGGCTTTGGGTACTATCCACACACCTTCTGATTCTCTCCCTACCTCTGTTGTGCCTTTAGTAGCTTAATCTTGCTAAATTATTTATAGACTATTCCATTTCAGTCTTTGACTACTTGTTTTGTATTCGGCGTATACCCCACAAACATTAACCCATTCACTTACTTTCCTTTTTATAACCTTGTACACACACTCTCTCACAGTCTTCATAGTATCCTTCCTTCAAAACTATGTAGGCTAAGTCAACCTAATGTTTCCTCATATCTAAGTAGTGATTCCAGTATGAGGAATTTTTGCTTTAAAATGTAGAAGTTGTCTGTGACAAATCCAAGGCCTCTCAGTCCTGTATTTGGTAAGCTTTTGCCCTGCTCCAAGTTCTCCCCTCTCTGCTATATACCATTTTGACAAATTGCCAGGTTAAAGAGGGGAGATGTGTGGGGATTTTTTTATAATTAAGATGTCTATTTTTATCTCAGTAACTTTTACCTATAAATGTTGGCTTAGAACAAAGCTTTTCTTCTTCAAACATTCGCTCCTTTTGGAGCATCTTCTTCTGTCTGCACTATTGCTAGTTTTATAATGCTCTTCCTTAATGTTTCCATCTACCATTCAAAATGTGGATGTATTCATGTACTATGAATTTGTAAGCTTTGAGCTCTGCTACTGGAACCTATTAGAAAGCATTCTCAATTATTTAGAAGATAATTAAGCTTGTAAAAGCTTGAACTCTGGTTTTTAATTCGCAGCACAATAGCTTTTGACCAGACCCCAGTAAATAATTCCACTATCTTGGGATTATTTAATAAACTGCACAAAGGAAATATAAAATCTCAATTTCTTATTATAGGTAACGTATTAAGTATGCATCCAGAAGCCCTGTTCAGAATCAGGCCCCCATCATGCTTGGTGCTGTACAAACTCATAGGAAGGCACCCCGTCCCTAAGGACTCAGCACGTTAAGTTTCTTCTTTCTCACCTTTGCAGAAAAACATCCTTTGAATCATAATCTTTTCATATCCTGCTTCATTTTTTCTATAGATAAACTCTTGTGACAATAAATTAATTATATTCCGGAGTGAGCAATTTCCCATCATTTGCCACTAAATATAAATGCATCATTAAGGCAGTTTGACGGGTTGGGTCACAGAGACCCCTTGGGACTGCCACCTGATGTGCTGAGACTACCTCTGAGCCCGTTTTCCCAGGCAGCTTCGGACTTCAGAACCCTGCCTTGTTGAGCAGACACGCTAGTCTACTCCAACACAGACCCTGGGTCTGAACCACGTCCCCCCAAAGCTGCAGACTTAATGAAGATGGCTTAGAAAGTGCTCCTGTCTCTAGCACCCAGATACCCAGTTCCCAATGGGATCCAAACGCCAAATACATTTGTTTTACTCTGTATAAAGCTTATACAGGGTAAACTCATAAATTGTCCGCTCTCTATAAGGCTGATAGAGAGATATGAACAGCTGTTTGCTCCCCCAGGAATTAATTACTTAATCCGGGTTAATTAATAAGCAAAAAGTGATTTTTATTAAGTATAAAAAGTAGGATTTAAGTGGTTCCAAGTAATGACAGACAGAACAAAGTAAATTACCAAGAAAAATAAAACAAAAACACGCAAGTTTAAGCCTAATACAGTAGGAAACTAAATACAGGTAAAGCTCACCCTCAGAGATGTTCCAATAAGCTTTTTTTACAGACTAAACTCCTTCCTACTCTGGGTCCAGCAATCACTCACACACCCCGTAGTTACTGTCCTTTGTTCCAGTTTCTTTCAGGCATCTCTTTGGAGTGGAGAGGCTATCTTTTGAGCCAGCTGAAGACAAAATGGAGGGGTTTCCAGGGCCTTTTATATTCTCTTGTGGGCGGAAATCCGTTTGTTCTCCTGTGCAAAATCACAGAAACAAGAGGGAGTCTAAAGCCACCTGGGCAAGTCACATGTCTATGAATGAGTCAGCTTTTTGCAGGCTGACACCATAGTTTACGTGTTAGTTTGAACATTCCCAGGAAAGCCTAGATGTGGATTGGCATCTCCCAAAGTCCATTGCTAGTTAAGTACTTCCAATTACTTGACTAACCCCTCACACTATGTTGACCAAATCTGCCTTATGTGCTTCCTACAGCAAACACTTTAAATACAAGCATAGAGCCAACACTCATAACTTCAGATATAAAAATGATGCATGCAAACACATAGAATGAATATATTCAGTGGAAAATAACCTTTGCAAAGATATGTTACATGGTATATCTAGCATAAAACATATTTGTTATGTCATATTTACACTCATAAGCATATTTCTTTAAAGCATTATGGGGTGCAACGTCACACCCTCTTCCTGAACTTACTGCCAGAGACTTGGACATTGTTCATGGCGGAGGCAGTACATGTAAAATCCATGTTTGTCTGTGGTCACACCCCCTTCCAGTACCTTTAAGCCTTATGATGTGATTCATAGGTGTTTTAGCAAAGTTGTGGGTTCCTGGTCCCTGGAAACATGTTGGGGTGTAGTATCACTAACAGAATGCAGGAAGGAGTCTAGTATGTGAAAGAAGCTTATTGGGACATCTCTGAGGGTGAGATTTACCTGCATTTAGTTTCCTACTGTATTAGGCTTAGATTTGCGTGTTTTTGTTTTATTTTGCTTGGTAATTTACTTTGATCTGACTGTCATTACTTGGAACGACTTAAATCTACTTTTTATACTTAATAAAATCACTTTTTGCTTATTAATTGACCCAGAAGTAAGTAAGTAATTCCTGGGGGAGCAAACAGCTGTGCACATCTCTTTATCAGCGTTATAGAGGGCGGACTATTTAAGTTTACCCTGTATAAGCTTTATACAGAGTAAAACAGATTTATTTGGGGTTTGGATCCCATTGGGACCTGGGTATCTGGGTGCTAGAGACAGGAGCACTTTCTAAGCCATCTTCAGTTAAGGCTGCAGCTTTTGGGGGACGTGGTTCAGACCCAGGGTCTGTGTTGGAGCAGACTGGCGTGTCTGGCTCAACAAGGTAGGGTTCTTAAGTCCCAAGCTGCCAGGGAAAATGAGCTCAAAGGTAGTCTCAACACATCAGGTGGCAGTCCCAACCCGTCACACAGTTCTTGGCACCAAATGACTAAATTGATGTTATGAAGAAATGAGTTAATTTTGGGGCTATTCAATTACCAAAGTTGAGATTTTTTTTTCCTGTCTGAAATACATAGGACAATAACAAAAATTCAATCCCTTTGTAAGTGCAAACAATGCTACAGTTTAAGAATATTTTTAAACTGGTATACATTTGAATTCATAATATTTAGTGATGACTCTTTTCAGAAGAAATGTTGGAATGCTCTCAGAAGTAAAACAAAGTTGAAAACAAAATTAAGACGACGCTTCCTCAGCCCTGAAATCATTCTTCTAATCTCAGAATAAATTTGAAACTTATTATTTCCAGGTGCATTTAAATATGAAATCTCATTGTTGTTGCATGTTTCACTTTTTGAATGAATTTTCAATTTAATTTGTACAAACTTTTTTTTGTTAATTATTGTTTTGGCTTAATTTCTTTTAGAAACATGTCATTCAGGTTTATCAAAAGGTAGGATTTATTTATATTTAAAAAAGTGGCTCCTGCAATTAACATAAAATTTGGCTTTCTAGCCTTGGTTTTTTAAAAACTAAACTTTCTGCTGAGAACTAAATACTTTCTTCCTTGAAAGGAAAATATAGAAGGAAATCCATTGACTAATGATGATACTTAAGCATCTGTGGCACCTGTATAACAAGATGCAAAGCATGCCTTGTGCACTCTTCTTTCTTTGATAGAGTTGATAGTACCAAAAATAATTCTGTTCTTTATACTAATACACTTAGCATGCTTATGTTTGAAGAATGACGTGTTTGGTAACACTGAAAAATGTAGACAAAACATAAGGGCACAAATGTGTAAAGGTAAGTGATGCTCTACATACTTTATCCTCTAATTTTCTTCATTAGGAAAATTCTTATCAAAATAGTGTATGAATAATTTGCTTCTGTTCATAACAAATTTAAACGTTCACCAAATTTGACTTAAAAATACAAATCACTTGAGAGATTGGAAGTTTGCATGAGGGATGAAGGATGTACATTGAAAATCTTCAAATAAGAAGCATTTTGTAGAGTACCCAAAGCCAAATTACTTCCTTTTATACTGTCCAACAGAGACATAAATTGAAACACTTAATTACAATTTATAGAATAAACAAAATAATAAAAGTTATGCAAGTGCATTGACAAAAGGAACCAATCTTGGAAAAACTATCCTACATAGAAAGGTTTTAAGAAAGCAGGCGGAACTGATTGTTCTTGCTTTAATACTGGCATAAATTACAAGTAATTCTATTGAAGTAGGTGAAAAAAGAGTCAGGCACCCTATTCTCAAAGCTGTATTGCTTCAGCATTCTTCTCCTAATTCTTTGGAAAGCCCTATCATCCATAAGCCAAAACATGGAAGAAAAAGACCAACAGGAAAAAAGCTACCAAAATATTCTAAAAAATGAAGCATGATGGAAATAAAAAGTATGACTTGGAAATTGCTTACATCCATATTGTCTTCAGAGAATAGAATAAAAAATAAGGGAAGCTTGAAAGATTGTGGGTTCCAGTAACTGAATTTAGAGTTTTATACTGAAAGAAATGAAATTTCACAATGAGAAACTAAAAGGTGCAGGAAGTCACGCTGAAGGAAATATTGCTAGAGCTACTCACATTTCTTTGGTCAGTGAAGACTTCTAAAACTTTGAAACAGCTTTTTGACTGAGCTAAATTTTCTAGTAATATCCTACAGTTGCCTTTTAAGTGTTGCCGAGCTTCTCTGGAATGATGATACCATGCTCACCTGTTAAGAGAAGAAGTTTTGATTCAGAAGTGGCCAAAAAAAATAAATCATTTCAGCGCAACATACTTTACTTTAAAAATGGGCATCCATTTGTACTTTCTTTCTAAAGGTAAAATCATCACTGGTATTTGCGATTTGAAGTTTGTCGTACTTTCTTTAGGCAAGCTGTGTCCTAAAATTGTTAGGATATAAATTTAGTTAATTCCATTAGGAATTGTATGTAATTCAACTCCAAACTAGCTACTGAAGTTCATTCATTCATTCAAGAAAGTCAGGGTGTGAAAAATACCTTGCATACTAGACGTGGAATGGTTTCTTTGTTTCAAAACAAATCATAGTATTAGGTTACACTCCCTCTTAGTGCTATGTTTGGGGCATTCCCAAATGTGAACATATTCTAGAATTATTTTATTGGATTAGTTGCCATCGACATTCATTGTCGGTTTACAGGACTATAAATTGGGAGGAGGAATATACATGGGCTCTGGTAGTTTTATTTGTCGCTAGGGTAGATCAGAGAAGAAATTGAGTGCCAGCAACCTTGTACACTTGACAATGAATAAAGGCGAATTTCTTAACTCGGCATTTAGCCTGAGCCACCAAGTTCTGCACAGTTGCAGAAGTCAGTGTGAGTTCTGTGAATTGCACAGGGATCTGAGATTGAAAGAGAGGCTTTGCCTCTTCCAAAGTTATGGCGATGGCTACTGTAAAACATTAGAAGGTTAATTGAGCAAATAAGCTATTATTTCCACAACTGGACGCTCATTATAACTTAACTGTAAGCCTCTACTGCGTTGAGGCAGTAAGTGAGATGCATCTGTTAGTCAGGAAGTTTAATTACATTTTATAACTCACGTTCTAGAGAGTTACCTTTAAATAGAAATATGGCATTGTAATATAAAGATTGCATCTTTTTACTTTTGGGTCAGATATTTGACATTTGTTAATTGCAGCAGTGTTTCAGGTGTTCTGATAGTAACTTTTTCAGGGTATTCTTGTTTAAAAAGAGACTTGCATAACAATGCACCTCTGAATTTTCCTTTTTATTAGTAGACGTGTATGTGCATGTGACTTCCAGTGTGCCTGTCTCTCTCGTTCTTGTATGCAGGCAGTGAAGTGAAATACATTGCTGCCTATAGCATAGATACTGATTTATTTTTTTTAGTCAAATTCTTCTTTACCTCTCATGAATCTCGTCTACAGAAATTCATTTTATTTTAACATTGGAATTTATTATAGTTGCCACAAGGACAATATTACAACTTCATTTCAGAGAGCTCGGCAAATTCTGAGTGCTACACATTTCATTTGTTTTTTAAAAATTGGAATGTTAATAGTGCACTGCATACCTCATCTAACATTAACAAGATACCATGCAGTGTCCTTGCAATTCTGCAGGGATTCCTTTATGTTGTGGAAGGCTAATTTGATACTTGGATAGCAAAATTGTGTTGATATTTTGATAGCTTTTTTTGTTATAGAATCTTTTCTTTAATTAAAGGTAACTTTCCTTGAAAAAGCAGGTTGTTTTCTTTTATGTATAAATTAATTAAATCTTATTTTAGTAGACTCCATCCATTTCCATTCTCCCACAATCATTTATAGCTTTTAATCAAGCTGTGAAATACTCTTTAGACAGCTTTATTTTTTAATGTTTCACTGGATTTTTAACAGAGTATACATAGAGAACACTTGCAATGCGCAAAACATAATTCATGATAGATATACAGAAGCACAATTCTAGGTCAACGTATCACTTATATTTACTACTTTTCACATACCATTTAACAGAAGTAAATGAAGTGCCATAGGCACTGTACTACAGCTGTGGGCTTAAAACAGAAAAATAAAATATAAAATTACTCTATCACAAAACTAATTAGCTTATTAGTCATCTCCTTTCTTTAACACATTATCTGCTCAATAGTCTTCTGTTATAAACCAGGAGTTTGTGTTCCTTTCAGTACTGCCGGCCACATTGGCAACTTGTAAGCCTAAAGGCTGTATCTGACTTGTAAGCATATACAGTATTATAAATTACATATACAGTACGGTTTTAATCAGAAGTGCACTGGTATAGGTTTTATTTACAGAATTCTGTACGTTTGCATGGTGCTTTATAGAGCATAACCATGCTTTGAGGTCCCAGGGGGAAGGAAGATCAATGGGAAGACTGACGCTGCTTCTCTGAAACTTCATGCCAGGTTTTATATTGGAGGTCTCACATCATGGAATGCAGTTTTGAGTGTTAGGTAACCTGGTATATTTATTGGTTCAGATTTTAATTTTTTAGCCTATTCACAATTATAAGTACTTCCAAAAGAGGCTTACAAATAAGAGTACTTACTCAAGATGTATCTTGCCGCAGGTGTTCAGTGAATACCTTTGATTTCTCTAAATGTAGATTGAGTATTTAGAAGTTGGTCAGTTTTAACTGAACTTCAGCCTGAGCTGCTAGGATCAGCAGAAAATCGATCTGAAACCAGAACAAACTATTTTTGTCCCTTTGAAAGTCTGAACTTTTGAGCAAAGAAATCTTGAGATTTCTTGTATCATTCACTATAGGGATGACAGGTCATACTCCTATTTCTTGAGCCTTTTTTGTCAACTGAGAAAGTGAGTCTGATGCGATCTATAAATGCTTGCAACTGTAAGCAAAAATGTTCTCTCCTACTTCCCAGGAACAGATGCCTCTAGTGCCCTTCAGAGAGTATTTCTGAGTACAGCACTTGACATTTTGTCATCTGAGTCAGGAAGTGACTTCAGACTTACAGAGAGGAGTTTGTTGTGCCTTCCGGAACGAGCCTTCCACAAGATTCTTTGCATGTCTACTGTTGAAACCTCTGGATGTGTTCAGCTTTTATAGCTTTCTCCTTTCCCATAAATTCCTCATGCTTTCACTAGTGTTCCGTCCCCCAGAAAGATGGACATCAAGAGCAGCCCAGAGGTCCTGGCTTGTACACCACAGACTTACTAGGCTTTTTCCATTTCTGATTTCTCTAATATCCATTCATTCTAGAGAAGCACATCAGCTTGACATATCTACCAAAGTGATTATAAATATTGGCATTTTATTCTGTCTTTTACAGGCTTCACAAATCAGTAACTAAGAGAACTAAATTATTTTACTGATCAATATGGACAAATATGTTGCATAGCTTAAAATGATTGTCTCCGTCCTATATTGCTAAAGATGATGGAACCGTCTCTTCTTATAGCACCTGAACCTGCTTCCATTGATACAATGGAGAAATACACATTGTCTTTAATAGAAGAAGCATTGGGCCCTTAGTTAAGAAACCCCCTTAGAATAGTCGTTGAGATAGGCTTACTCCAGACGGTCATTGTGGTACTATGCACTCTGTGTTGACATAGTATTCTGGCAATAAGAACAGGACTCTTGCTTCAATGTGAGCTTCATTTAGCCCAGATTTTTCCCCTCAAGATTTTAAAATAAGACAGCAGTGTTAAGACACATTGAAATGTGATTCTGACCAAAAAATGTCACCGAGAAGTAGTTAGGATTGGTATACAACATACGTGACTTGAACCCACAAAAGCAAGGAAACTAAAAGCTACATGACAGTACATATGTTCCCAGACAGGCATATACCTCATCACCACAACTACCATACACCACAGATGATGCACCACAGTTTTAACTCTCCCTTCTCATCCTCACACCATTTACCAAGCTGCCCTAATCTACTATGATTAGTTTGGTGTGTTAATGTTGTGTATGCCTGGGGTGAAATAGGCATGGGAGAAAGTAGCGAGGTGCTTGTGGGAGATTTTTCCACCTTGATTCTGTTTGCCTTGAAGGTTGCTTAAATGTAACATTAATATATAACAGTGTTAAGTAACTTTTCTGCCGGTGATCTTTATATTGCTCAATTTCTTTTACCCTTACGCATGTCTTCTGGAAGATGAGTCCGTGGTACAGGAATTCAGAAGAATTCATATTCAGAGGAATTGTACATATTGAGAAATCTTGAATTTACCTTGAAATTTTTCTTATGCTAATTTTAATTTATATCCTGGTTTAAGGGAGGGTGGGACAAATTAATCAGATCATTTGATCTACAAGTTTCACTATATTTGATCTACAGGTATGGGTGTGCATATTAAAGCTGTTTTTAATACCATTTTTCTCTCTTTTACAGCTTATCACTTTAATAATAACAATAATTAGTATATCTTTAGTTACACTGAATTAGTACATTTTACATATTTCTAATTCAACAATCTTCCCCACTGGAATCTTACCTTTTAACTTCATGTGTACGTGTGTCAATATAGTATTACAATTAATACTAAAAGTATCTACTTTTTAGAAACTGTGGCTTATAAATACATATTGTTTTGGTGGGCAAGACATTTGTAGTATTCTAAGTTTGCTGTGATCTTGAAAATCCATTGAATCTTTGTTGCCTAAAATGTCATAACACAATATATTTTAATTACGGTATAATTGAGATTATTGCATTTAGCAGCTATTCAGATATTATGTATGCTAGTATAAGATTTGTCTTCTCTTTCCCACTTCCTTTTGTTTCTGCATTCTTTTCAATGAGGCTCCCGACTGAATATGAGAGGAACGGGAGATATGAGGGCTCAAGGTGAGGGTAATGATTTTTGTTTAAATGTTACTTAGGTGAGTTTGAACCTTTCTCCCCCTGTTTATGTGGCTCAGGTTCTAAGCAGCAGATTTTGTTTCCTTTAGCTCCATGAAACTGTAAACCAAGAAACCCTCCTGTCTTCAAAACAGTGATTAAATCATTGAGTGACTTGGTTCTAAATTCTTCCATCTTTCATGTTGCCTTTTCCCTATATATATTTCTGCATCTTAGCAGCTGGGCAGGCAGGTAGCCCCCAGTGAGACTGCAGAACTGCTCTATAATCCAATATTGGAGGGTACTAAAGTGTGAGAGGTTTTTTAACCCTTCTCAAGGTTATGAGCATAATCTCTGACTCTACCAATCAGCTTGAGGCTGCTCGTGTGAAAGCAAGTCTCCTCTATGATAACACATAGAATTATTAAATAGGTGATCTTCATGCTGAATTTGTTTAACTTTCTAATCAAGTTTTTATTTTTATGCAATACTTTCACAATGTTCTGCCAACACGATGGTACAGAAGTTTGTTTCATGTAACTAGAAATTATTTTTAAAAAAGCCCATAAAAAGGACTTGACTTGTTATTAGTACTTGTTAAAATACTTGTCTTTGTGACTGAGGATGTGAGGGAGATTCGCACACCTAAGCCATTCTTTTTAGGTGACAAATCTAAGGAACTGACCTTATGAGGTGTCATTAGAGGAGGTTTTGAAACAAATTGATAAATTAAACAGTAATAAGTCACCAGGACCAAATGGTATTCACCCAAAAGTTCTGAAGGAACTCAAATGTGAAATTGCAGAACTGTTAACTGTGGTTTGTAACCAATCATTTAAATCCGCTTCTGTACCAAATGACTGGAGGATAGCTAATCTGGCACCAATTTTTAAAAAAGGCTCCAGAGGTGATCCCAGCAATTACAGGCCTGACTTCAGTACCAGGCAAACTGGTTGAAACTATAGTAAAGAACAGAAGTGTCAGACACATAGATGAACATAATTTGTTGAGGAAAGAGTCATCATGGTTTTGTAAAGGGAAATTATGCCTCACCAATCTACTAGAATTCTGAGGGGGTCAACAAACATGTGGACAAGGAGATCCAATGGATATAAAGTACTTAGATTTTCAGATAGCCTTTGACAAGGTCCCTCACCAAAGGCTCTTAAGCAAAGTAAGCTGTCATGGGATAAGACGGAAGGTCCTCTCATGGATCGGTAACTAGTCAAAAGATGAGAAACAACAGATAGGAATAAATGGTCAAATTTCAGAATGGAGAGAGGTAAATAGTTTTGTCCCTCAGGGGTCTGTACTGTGACCAGTACTATTTTAACTTGTTCATAAATGATCTGGAAAAAGGGGTAAACAGTGAGGTGACAACATTTGGAGATGATACAAAACTACTCAAGATAGTCCAAAGCAGACTGCAAAGAGCTACAAAGGGATCTCACAAAACTGGGTGACTGGGCAATAAAATGGCAGATGAAATTCAATGTTGATAAATGCAAAGTAATGCACATTGGAAAACATAATCCCAACTATACATATGAAATTATGAGGTCTAAATTAACTTACCACTCAAGAGAGAGATCTTTTCCAATTCCAATATGTCTTTTTTGAGATGGGGCGACCACATATGCATGCAAAAAAGATATTTTGGAATTGGAAAAAGTTCAGAAAAGGGCAACAGAAATGATTGGGGGTATGGAATGGTTTCCATATGAGGGTTGATTAATAAGACTGGGAGTTTTCAGCTTGGAAAAGAGTTGACTAAGAGGGGATATGATAGAGGTCTATAAAATCATGACTGGTGTGGAGAATGTACATAAGGAAGTATTATTTACTCCTTCTCATAACACAAGAACTAGGGGTCACCAAATGAAATTAATAGGCCGCAGGTTTGAAACAAACAAAAGGAAGTATTTCTTCACACAATGCATAGCCAACCTGTGGAACTCTTTCCAAAGGATGTTGTGAAGGCCAAGACTATAACAGGGTTCAAAAAAGACCTAGATAAATTCATGGAGGATAGGTCCATCAATGGTTATTAGCCAGGATGGGCAAGGGTGGTGTCCCTAGCCTCTGTTTGCCAGAAGCTAGGAATGGGCGACGGGATGGATCACTTGATGATTACCTGTTCTTTTCATTCACTCTGGGGCACCTGGCATTGTCCACTGTTGGAAGACATGATACTAGGCTAGTTGGACCTTTGGTCTGACCCAGTATGGCAGTTCTTATGTTCTAAATTGAATTCTGAATCTTAACATACCACTGATTTTAAACTGTATGGTATACCATGAGAGCAAAAATAATCTTTAAAGAGGTATCTGATGCAGAAAATACTTTTATGCACATATCTGCATGTTAACATACTTTTTGTGAAGGTTTCAGTACACAGATTCCAACTCTTTTTAGCCATGTGGCCACTAATTCATAGCTGAAATACAATAGTGAGCTAATATTCTACAAATTTCTGGAACTCGTCGTCTTATCCATCCATTTCCACCACCACCAAAACAAGAGAAGAATGTTATTACTATGTGCTTTAATTCTTACAATTTTGATAGTCATCACACTTTCTCATTGTACCTTCTGTTGTAGTGACAAGGAGATTATTTTTGTTAACATTAGTTTGGTATGTTAACTTTCTGTATTTTATTCTGAAAAAGACACTCCAGTAACTTCAGAAGTTAGACTGTTCACCATTGCAAGTTATACATCTCTGATGATTGTCATAGGTGAAGCAATAGTATTGATAAAGATACTTTCCTTGGTGTATGATATGTTTGAGGATATTGCGTAGACCCACCAGTACCTGAGCTGAAAGGCAAAGGTCTTTGGTTGCTTGAAATCTCAAATGTTTATGAAGCTAGGAAGGCCGTTATGAAACTCCAGAAGTGACCCTGAGATATTTTAGATTGGTGGGGGTGGAAGGCAGCACATTCAGTCTCAGCAGGTGAGGGATATCCTTCACCTGGCTCCTTCCCCACACTGGTGTATATAGACTCAAGAAGGTTGCTGCAATGCAGTGCCTGAGGACTGTAGTAGAGGAGAAAATGTAAGGGAACCCAAAGGATCCTTCTGCCAGGGCTCTTCAGTGCATTGTATCAGTAAATATCAACTCATATTGGAGGCAACTGTGGCCTAAGTCTTTAAGTTGTGACTTAGAGCTGCTATCTTAATGAGGGTTCCAGAAATTTCTAGAGCTTTCTGGTGCTATATGCCCTGGATTATTGGTCCATGTAGGCTGTAACCTTAATTGAATTACAGGTGAGTGAAAACTTACCTTCAGCATGGTAGTAATAAAGTTTTTCATCCTCCTGTCCCCATTCCTTCCAGTTGTTGTTCACACTAGTTGTGTCTTGGCTTAATTAGATTGTATGCTTTTGGGGTGGGAACAGTCTTACTGTGTGTATATAATATGCAATGCCTAGTACAACAGGGTCCTGCTCCAAGTTGGGGCCCCTCTGTGCACTTCTGTAATACAAAAAATGCACACTGAACAGGGCAGTTGCTTCATCAACACACGATTTAAGAGGCTATTGGTTGTCCTATTAAATAATAAAATGTTTTCTTTCAGTCGCAATGTAGCTGTGGATCAGAAGGATGAAAACAAGGAAGCCAAGCCCCGTTCACTGAGGTTTACTTGGAGCATGAAAACTACCAGTTCCATGGATCCTAACGATATGATGAGGGAAATTCGTAAAGTCCTGGATGCCAATAATTGTGACTATGAACAAAGAGAGCGTTTCTTGCTTTTCTGTGTCCATGGCGATGGACATGCGGAAAATCTTGTACAGTGGGAGATGGAGGTGTGTAAACTGCCAAGACTGTCACTGAATGGAGTCCGCTTTAAGCGGATATCGGGAACATCCATAGCTTTTAAAAACATTGCTTCCAAAATTGCCAATGAATTAAAGCTGTAAGAAAAAGTAATTAAGTTGTAAATTAAGTAGCAATTTCGAGTGTTTTTGAGAACACCGATGGAAATGTATAGAATAATATTTAGGCAATAACTTCTACATCTTCTGAATCATGATATTAAAAAAAAAATTGAAACAAGCTGCTGAGCTGGGAGGGAGAGTTGGACTTTTTTTTATAAGTGCACTACAGCATTAAAGTTGCCTACTATGTAAAATATTACCCCTTCTGCTTTATTTCCTTTGCTCTAAGTCTTTGGCAACAAACTGAAACACACAATATATACATTTAAATATGCCTCCTGTTTGTGTGGATGTGAGAATGTACAGTATGTGTGTATAATATATTAAGTATTATATGTAAACTATTCATTTACAACATCAGAGCTGTACCGTACCTCTTTGGGGGCTAATTTTGGTGCTAAAAATTGAAATGGCCAAGGAGGAAACACTTGAGTTAATATTTAAAATAATTGAATGGTTACCCAGTAAATGCAGTTTTACAGTTCACTGCTGTGTTAAGAAAAAAGTGTGAAGGGTTTGGATTTATGGTTGTGAACATTACTCCTGTTTTTTAAGTAGATCTCATGAGATAATTAAACATTCACTTTTACTCAGTAAGTCTTGCATTATACTTCTCCCACTATTTATTATTTAAGTCTGAATCAAATTAAAAATTAGAGTTGATTTATGCATTAAAATTTGGGTAAATGCTTCAATTTCTCTGTTCATGTTAAACACAAGTGTAAAAATATATCCTTTTTATCTCTTTTGTCTTTCATGACTTAGTAGAATGGGTTACCATTCAGTAAGCTCTACCATTTACTGCTATAGAATGTAAACAGTGTAGTTCAGTGAGAACATCACGTTTAGTGTCTTATCTTGAGGTAGAAATGTGTTTTTAAAATCTGACTTGCTGGAACTTGACTTAGTGACAATTTCAGACGTTGTTTCTACTGTAAAGGCTTGGCCAGATTCATCAGAAGAACAAAAGGACTCTCAGTAAACGATAAAAGTTCTGGTGAGAATTACCACATGCCTGAGATACTGACTTCCTACGTTATTGCTGGACATACGGTGTCCCTTCCCCTTGAGCTGTGAGCATGCACTCTTGTTAAAATCCAAAAGTGGAAAGCCAATGTCTGCTGATCACTTTTCATACTTTAAATGAAATTAATAGTGATGCAAGATACCAGATTGACAGACAGCCTTAGAGATGAGCTCCTATCATTTTATAAACACAACAGCACAGGTGGCAGTGGTTCAGCCCTCCCCTGTCCTCTACTAACTCCCTTGCAATGCCCTCAGCCCAGTTCTGCGAGGTACTACTTATATAGGTGGGAAGATAGTTCAGTCTCCGTGTCAATTCTATCTTTTGGTCTCTGCTGAGACTGCTAAGGAGGAGGTCAGCTGTGGTGAGCTTTTTTTAGTGTGTGGAGAGGAAACCTGTCTTCTCTGAATTCTGCTATCTTGACCAACTCACTTCCTACAGACCACCAAGCAGTCATCAGATGGTATCAACTCTTAGTCGCTACTGGGCTGGATTTGAATCACAAACCTGGATACCCTAATCCATTCAATCTACCTACTAATTTTTCCTTTCCTGTATTCAGTTTGCTATTTCAGTAAGGATTTGTGTAGATAATACCCCGTATTATCTATTTGACTTTATTTTATATAAATTTAATGCTTATGGTCCCGTTCCCATGCAGCAGTTAGGCACGTACTTAACGTGTGCTTTAATTCAGACCCTAAGCTTGCTTTTTTAAATTACAGTGAGCTAATATAGTTCATCATTGTGTACGCAACTTAGCTTTTACCCAAGGTGCAAATGCAGAATCCCTAATATTTTGCACGTTAAGTTTTGTGATCCATGCTCTGAAAACAAGAATTTCCTCCTTTATACCTCTTCCTCAGTCTCTAGTGACCTTGCCCTAAGCATTGATAATTATGCTAGCTAAAGGATAGTTATAGTTGTTAAATGCAGTAAAAATTCCTGAATTTACATTTTTAAATCTAGGTATATTTTGCATCATGAACTGGCTTTAGAACTCTTGGTGCAGATGGAGCTTGATGGGCTGTCAGTACTCGTGCTTACTTTGCTCAGGATGGTCTTGCCATGAAAACTCCATTTTGTAATAGCAATAAGAGATTACAGGACAGATGTACTTCTCAGGTGGGGATTCACGTAGCCTTTCGCTTTCTACATTAAACACTACTCAAGGTGTATTCTTTTCATCCAGTAGTGTACTTCCTGTCGTCTTATAACTTAAACTCCATGTTCTGATTAATCATAGCACTTACTGATTGTAAATCTGTATTCAGTGGCAATTCCAAAGGTTTCATATGAAATGTCTCCTGCAATACTCTGTTCTATTTTACCCATTCAGTATATAATTGTTTCTGCAAAGTGCAACAGTATCATAAGTTTAAATATTTTTAAAAGTTTGTACTTAAGTATTTTTGTCTTAAAATGTATTCAAAAGGTACTTTTAGAAATAATCTGTATTTGAGATATTAAAATACACCAAATGACACATTTATTAGCACTAGAAACAGGTTCTTAACAGCTTCCTTCTCAAATATAATACAAAACTGTCAATTGCAAAAATGTTACGAGTGTTCTTGATCATAACACACACAATGTCCTTCTTCATTCTAAAGTGCAGAACCTTGTAATTATTTGTCTGGTTCACTGGTAGGACAATCACTGAAGGAACTATATTTTGCTATATTAAGAAGATGCTTAATATAAAGATATAGGCCTCAATCCTGCATGGTCACTGGAGAACTTTCAGCTCAGGGGACTGCCTGCTGGTATGAGCTGGCAGGATTGGGTCTATAGTTACTTTATATATCAAACCTACTTGTAATCGGAGTCCAAGATGTATGTTGTGATAATAGCAGTCCTGGGCACCTCAAGAGATGTGCATCGAGCAACTGAGAAGTGCTTTTGTAACAGCATTAATTTTGCCCTAGAGATTGGTGTCTCATTTTCTAAAAATGTTTGTTGGCTCTTGACTAACAGACTGTGCGCTTCCACCCAAGTCACTGCCAGGTCTGATTCTGAAATCAAGCTTTTCTTCCCTTGGCTAGCAGGTAAAAAATGTTCTGCGTTTTTCCTGGTATATTTTAATTACTATATTTTGCAAAGCTTTCTTTAACTAATTCAGTTCAAAATATTTCGTGTAATACATGGAAACTCAACAGTGAGTGAGAATTAATAAGCTCAACCAAGCTTCTCTCTCTCTCTAAGCTTCCAAGTCATTGAAGCAATCTAGTAACCAAAAAGGCATAGATCTGAGAGGAATAACTGCATTTGCCTGACCAGATATGTGTTTTTAAGACCTTGGACCATGTTGTGAAGGAGATGGTAAATAATTCAGCGTAAAGAGCAGTACTAGCTGTTCCTCCAAACTTTAGTTTCTAAGTATGTTACACAAGCCTTCGTCATTGATATCCCTGAAGGAAGTGACACCCATAGAAACTGGCCTGATCGGTGTGGATTCAAGGAACCTCAGCCTTAGTACAAGTAGCACAAACTCTGGGATTCTATTCCTCTTATTAATCATTTGCATTACGGTAAAAGTCATAACCAAGATAGCGGTCCTGTTATGCTGGGTGCTATTGGAAACAAAAACAGTAAGATGCAGTCCCACAGAACTTACTATCTAAAATAGGCCACGGTCTGAGAAAGGGAAGGTATCGCTTTCCATATTTTCGGGGAATGGAAGCACAGAGATTAAGTACCTTGCCCATGGTCACATAGGAAATCTAGGTTCAATTCCCAGGTCTGCTACAGACCTGAATTCTAGTCCAGTCTCTTAACCATAAAATCATTTTCTCTATGTAAGGCCCTGATCAGCAAGGTACAGAAGTACATTGCTTAATTTGAATCATGTGAGTAGTCCCATTAGTGTGAATGTTAGGCACATCCTAAAGCAGCTTGCTGGATCAGGGCCAATGCCACTCCCTTCAAATCAATGTAACAACATTTGTGTATTTCAGCGGTTCTAGACTGATGGTTTATATTGTGGTCTGTGTGCCTCCCATGCCCTAGAGCCTTTTGGTGGCAGTCTGCACGATGAAATATTTTGGGAACCATATAGTGGAGGAGGAGATGTGTGAGGTACTCCACTAGAGTGTTTCTTTACCCAAATGTTTTGTTTCAAATTTATATCTTTAAGGGCTTAAGACACTGCTATGTTAGTACATTGGTCTAAACATGGTTGGAAGAACGACCTCTTTAGGAATGTGAATATACATTTCAAATTTATATTAATGTATAATTTTTCAAATAAATTTGTGCAGATGGTGACTGTTTTGATCTCCATTTTACTCTCCTGGCTGTGTATATAGTTCTCATTTCCTTCAGTCTTGCTAGAGAAGTCTTGGAGCTTTGCAGTGGAGAATGGCTTCACTTTATTAAAAATCACTAATACTGCCAATTTCATCACCATTTCAGACATTTAAGTCAGGGAATGTTCTACATGTGACCAAAGTATTCAGTTTGAGTAGCAGTACGTTGTCTCTTACCAGTTTCAATATTATGTTTCTTGGAAGACTCCCTACTTCAATAATCGCATTATTGAATTCTTACCCAATTAGAAAACTTTAGGATCAACACTTTATTCCATACGTAGTGAATTTTCAGGTAGAAGCTAATGGAAGAAATAAAGTCCATCCAATTTGTTGATCAGTTTTACAAGGTTCCTGTCCTATTGGTGATTTTTTCTTTCCAGGCATTGACACTATACTGTGTTCTCTGGATGCATTCTTGATGGATGTACACCTTTCCACCAGAGGCACTAAGAAAAGCAATGGTACTAAAAGTGCTGCTCAGAATTTGAATTATTCTTAAATTGTCTTCCTCAGATTTTCAGATTTGTCCTAGCACTAAGAATAAAGTTTAAACTCAGCTGAATACACTAGGCTTTTTGCCCCGGCAATGATTGAGAGCAGAAGAGCTGTAGATGTTAATACAAATCCCCACAGCAATCTGTGTGAAAAAACTTAGGGCTTGTCTATGCTACCTGCCGATCGATCCAGCGGGGGTCGATTTATCACGTTTAGTATAGACATGATAAATCGACCACTGAACGCTCTCCCGTTGACTCCAGTACTCCACCAGAACGAGAAGCGCAAGCAGAGTCAACGGGAGAGCGTCAGCTGTCGACTTACTGCAGTGAAGACACCACGGTAAGTAGATCTAAGTACTCATTTTCAGCTACACTATACACGTAGCTGAAGTTGCGCATCTTAGATCGACCCTGTGTGGTAGTGTTGACGAGCCCTTAGTGTCAGTAACTGCTAACTCTGGTTAACATTTACTTATCCAGAACTGTTAAATGCAAATAGTAGTAGTGGCAGTTCATCAGGTAAATTGTTTAATACAAAAAATGTTAAACATTCCTGAAAATTTAAAATTATCATTATTTCTTCAGCAATTGCTGTTCTGCATTTATGGAGAGTTTCTATCAAAATAATCTGTTAAAACGCAAATATAATACATGCATACAAAGTGGCAGATTTATGGTTGCTGGGGGAACCATAGCACTGAATTCCCTGGCTTTGGGGTTTTTCAGTTCTCAGTCAGTCTATTCTTCTTGCACATTAAATTT